TTTAGCTCCTCCTGCTTTTAACACATTGCTCTGTGGACCTGGGGTCTTGAAGCTAACTAAAAAGAACATTACACCTGGGGCCCTCCAGCCGTCCCTGCTTCCCTGGAGAGCCAATGACAGCAGGAACCACAGGCAGTCCCTCAATAAGGCAAATGTCCACTCATCTGTTTGCCTACTCTGAGATGCTGTGGTCACCCTGCCCCTTCTCCAAGCTGCTGGGCTGGCTAGGGGCGGCCTGGGTGAGCCTCCAGAGTTTGACCTGGCCTAGAATAAGGAAGGAAGCCAGGGTGTTTCTGCAAAGGAAAAAAAAAAAAGCCTTAGCTGCATCACGCTGAGCAGGGGGCGGGTGGGCTGCAAGGTGCAGGGGTGCTTTCTAGCAGTGTAGGCTAGGAACAAAGCCAGGCAGTTTACTGAGATCTGTTATCTAGTAATCACATGGATTCTTCTAAGTGAGAAGCAAAGTGGTTCAGATTTCCCCAAAACTTGAGTCTGTGTGGCTTATTCCGGCCAACAGTGCACTTCTCAAGGTTTGTATTGTGAGGCTAAATTTGCCTTCTCCCCCAGAAGAAAAATAGATCTGAAATTTCCCTCATGTCACCTCTTAGAATAAAGCATGCAGTCAGGGTAACAGTTGCATTCAACTGTCTATTTAAGGTAACACAGGAAACCAGTGGTACGTTTTCAAGAAAAGCTGATTGTCATCTGCTATTGGTAATCATCTGAAAGCATCACTTGGTATAAATGGGCAGTGGCCAGACACTAGAAGGGGAAAAGATGCATCATTTCAAATGTATTACCTCATACTTACAGAATACATCAATTTAAATTCTATTGGGATATATTACTTACTCTCGGTACCCTACACCCAAAATGGTCTGCGTTCATTTTTTTCTTCCAGATACGGAAATTGCAAGTGAGGTCATACTTCTGAGTCAGTAGAGACCTGCAACCTCTGCAGTTTTGTAGATGGCAGCAGCTCTGGGAGGCTGTGCGGGCCAGGCCCCCACATTTTGGGGGAGCTGTGGATGACGTTATTCAGGTTCATCTTGTGGCCATCATCCTTGTCCTGGCAGTGAATAATCTATAGTTTTACTTCAGTTGCATTTTGTAAAGACGGATCACAAAACGGAAAGATAGCCAGGGGCATTTTACATCTACTATAGGTTTGTTTTTGTGTTTTTTAAAAAATGTTTATCTTGCAGCAGTGAACTACTGCCTGATCGTAGAAGCTGACACTTGAAAGAATCTCACTAAACGAAATTAGTTTAATAGTTTTAATAGCTTTAAGGGTTTTCGCGTGAAAAGATGACAACAGAAGTTTGGCAAATTAAGGATTTCGATTTTGCTAAGAAAGAAAAAGGTCATTATTAATTTGGAACATGATACCCTTCCCCTTACACAGATCACTTGCACCCACCAAATGTCAGGGGGAAGAGGTTCCTCAGTACTGCACTGCAGGGCAGTAGAGAATGACAGTCAGTGTCGCCAGTTTTTCAGCAACCTGTGTATTTCAAATTTGTGTCTAATTTTCAATATAAGGATGAAAATATATTTTGGAGAATGCTTTTTTTTTTTTTTTGTCGGTCGTGGGGCTTGAACTCTGGGCCTGGGCGCTGTCCCTCAGCTCTTCAGCTCAAGGCAAGCGCTCTACCAC